ATCATGAGTCAGAGACACAGTTAAAACATGATTCACCATTCAACAATTTCCCATCTCCGAACAGCAAGGATTTCATCAACATGTGGATAAAATCTTCAACTGGATGTGTTTAATCAGATAAAACAACATCTGAATTTCATTGGGCCTATTCTGTCACTGAGTCCTTTGTTCAAACTGGGACACACTTCCCACACTGCCACACCTAAAGCACTACATACACTGAAATACATAAATCAACATGATCAACAGCTTCAGTCTAAAATCGTAATTAGCACAGAAAAAAGAGGTATTTCTTGGCCAAGATTCGTTCAACACAGCAGTCTAGATTCAAAGGAAGATAAAGTGAAGCAAAACTTGAAACTGGTGCTCAAAAAATTAAAATACTTTCTCATTTGGGCTCCTCCTCCTGCTCCTCATGTAGCCCGCCTATTGTCACTGAGATTGTGTTTATTGCAATTTTGTATTGTTATGCATTCATATGTTTTATGTAATTATGATATTGTTGTGTCTTGTGTATTGTTTGCGTTTTCGGTTTTATTCCTCTGTAATTTGTTGTTTGGGCTTGGCCTCATGTAAGCCGCCCCGAATCCCCATTGGGGAGATGGTGGCGGGGTATAAATAAAGATGATGATGATGATTATTATAATTATTGGTTTTTTGGGCTGTATGGCTATGTTCCAGAAGCATTCTCTCCAGCATCAGTGACTGGCATCTTGAGAGCCAGGCATGTAGCTGGGGGGGGGGGGGTTGGGGCCGCCACCCCTTAAATTCTCATGGTGGTTTGCGAAAAGGCCTTACTGGTGCATTATTTAAACTGTTATGTTTATTCATATCATGATCTGATCACCATACTCAATATATCCCATATTCATGGGGGTATTGGGGTGTAGAGAAGTGTCTATTATAACTGTGTTTTAAACTGGCTATAGACCCTCTTTCACTCCCGACTCAGTCCCCGCCCACTCACTCACACGTCCAGGTGGGCTAATGTCTGAGGTATCCCAGCCCCCCCCCTGAAAAAAAATTCCCCCCCCCCCCCCCCCCCCGAAATGAAATCCTGGCTACGGGCCTGTTGAGAGCTGTTGGCAATTATACATACCAGTGGAGTGTATACATATGACTTTCTTTTCTTTTTTTAATTAAAAAAGGGGGAAATCTCAAAATTGTGGAAGTCCAAAATCTAGGTCGAAAAAGGGGGAAAATATAGTAACATATAGTAACAGATAAGTGGTGATAATAATAAATTGTGGCAAGTTCTTGGTGGTATGGGGATCCCAAGTCACCTTGTCTGTCTCCTGAGGAATCGTTTCAGGAGTTGCATGTGATGTCTGTAGATATTGATGGCTGAAAGCAAAGAGGAGCTGAGGAAGCTTATAACCAAGGTGAAAGAAAAAAGTGCAAAAGCTGGGTTGCAGTTAAACATTAAAAAAAACCCCAAGATTATGACAAACAGACTGATTGGTAACTGGCAAATAGAGGGATAAAATGTGGAGGCAGTAACAGATTGTGTATTTCTAGGCGCAAAGATTACTGCAGACACAAGGTGCAGCCAGGAAATCAGAAGACATTTACTTCTTGGGAAGAGAGCAATGACCAATCTCAATAAAATAGTAAAGAGTAGAGACATCACACTGGCAACGAAGAACTGCATAGTTAAATCAATGGTATTGTTCCTCAGGAGGGGCGGAAGCCATTCTGGGAGTTTGTTTTCTGAGAGGGGCAGAAGGCGGTTTGCAAGGATTCTTGTGAGGATTTTCCCAGCTGAGGTTAGAAGGGAGACTCCTCGATAGTTTCTGCAGTCTGTTCTTTCTCCTTTTTTGAAGAGGGTGATGATGGTGGCATCCTTGAAATCTGCTGGGATTTTCTTGGGTCACCCACACTTTTTCTATGAGCTGGTGGAGTTGTTGTGTCAGCTCAGGTCCTCCCTCTTTAAAGATTTCAGCAGGGATCCCATCAGGTCCGCTGGCTTTGTTATTTTTTTGTTGGCTGATGGCATTGCTGACTTCTTCCAAACCAGGCAGTGCTGCAAGCTCATCCCTGATTTGTTGTTGCGGGATTTGTGAGACAACCCCTTCGGCAACATTGGAGCTGCGATTTAGGAGGCTTTGGTAGTGTTCTTTCCAACGTAGTGCAATTGAGTTTTGGTCCTTCAGGAGTTTGGTTCCATCTGATGAGAGTAGAGGCTGTATGCCATGGTTTCTTGGTTTCTTTCCAACGTAGCACAATTGATTTTTTTTTGTCGTATATACAATATATTATATTACAACATTATTATCTTTGCATACAATATACCAGCACTGTTACATTACAATGTTATGCTATAACATCATGGGAGTCTTTAGTTTTCCCTGCCAAAGAGAACTGGTTCCATAGCATTGAACCATGGCAATTAAAAAGTGGCGTCTGACCAAGTTTTCCCCCAAATGCTGGTCTTTCGGCCTTTTGAGGACTACAGCTCCCAGAAGCCCTGAACATTAAACAAAGTAGCTATTTATTTGTTGTGTCAGGACAACCAGTCAAATTATATTACATTTCTAACAGAACAAAGCAAACAAACAGACAAAATACAAAATTTGTGAGTTTGGTAGTTGATTAAATGTCCTTTGACCAGTATCTGGCCACTTGGAGTGCTTCTGGTGTTGCTGCAAGAAGGTCCTCCATTGTGCATGTGGCAGGGCTCAGGTTGCATTGCAGCAGGTGGTCAGTGGTTTGCTCTTCTCCACACTCGCATGTCGTGGATTCCACTTTGTAGTCCCATTTCTTAAGGTTGGCTCTGCATCTCATGGTGCCAGAGCGCAGTCTGTTCAGCGCCTTACAAGTCGCCCAGTCTTCTGTGTGCCCAGGGGGGAGTCTCTCATTGGGTATCAGCCATTGGTTGAGGTTCTGGGTTTGAGCCTGCCACTTTTGGACTCTCGCTTGCTGAGGTGTTCCAGTGCGTGTCTCTGTAGATCTTAGAAAACTATTTCTAGATTTAAGTCGTTGACGTGCTGGCTGATACCCAAACAGGGGATGAGCTGGAGATGTCTCTGCCTTGGTCCTTTCACTATTGGCTGCTACTTCCCGGCGGATGTCAGGTGGTGCAATACCGGCTAAGCAGTGTAATTTCTCCAGTGGTGTAGGGCGCAGACACCCCGTGATAATGCGGCATGTCTCATTAAGAGCCACATCCACTGTTTTAGTGTGGTGAGATGTGTTCCACACTGGGCATGCATACTCAGCAGCAGAGTAGCACAGCGCAAGGGCAGATGTCTTCACTGTATCTGGTTGTGATCCCCAGGTTGTGCCAGTCAGCTTTCGTATGATATTGTTTCTAGCACCCACTTTTTGCTTGATGTTCAGGCAGTGCTTCTTGTAGGTAAGAGGCATGGTCCAGAGTGACTCCCAGGTATTTGGGTGTGCTGCAGTGCTCCAGTGGGATTCCTTCCCAGGTGATCTTCAGAGCTCAGGATGCTTGTCTGTTCTTAAAGTGAAAGGCGCATGTCTGTGTTTTGGATGGATTAGGGATCAGTTGGTTTTCCCTGTAATAGGCAGTTTTCCCTGTAATAGGCAGTGCTGCCTATTACAGGTTTTCCCTGTAATAGGCAGCACCTAGAGCTTCGGAGAGCTTCTGTTCAACCATCTCAAAGCTCCCTGCTTGAGTGGTGATGGCACGATCATCAGCATAAATGAATCTCTCTGTCCCTTCTGGCAGTGGCTGGTCATTTGTGTAGATGTTGAACATGGATGGAGCAAGCACGCTCCCCTGAGGCAGGCCGTTCTTCTGTTTCCGCCATCTGCTTCTCTGGCCCTGGAACTCAACAAAAAAGCTCCTGTTTTGTAGCAGGTTTCCTATGAGGCGGGTGAGGTGGTAGTCCTTTGTGATATTATACATTTTTCTCAGGAGGAGGCGGTGGTTCACAGTATCATAAGCCACTGACAGGTCTATGAAGACAGCTCCTGTGATCTGCTGCCTTTCAAAGCCATCTTCTATGTGCTGAGTCAGGTTCAGCACTTTCAATGTGCAGCTTTTGCCTTTCCTGAAGCCAGCTTGCTGTGGAATCAGACATGGGTCAATTTTTTCCATCCGACCGCATCTCTGCCTATGAACCCACCAGGACTTTGAGATCTTCCGGGGAGGCCCTGCTCTCGATCCCGCCTGCTTCTCAAGCATGGCTGGCGGGGACGAGGATAGGGCCTTCTCGGTCGTGGCTCCTTGGCTGTGGAACGCCCTTCCTACGGACATTAGACTAGCACCATCTCTAATGGTATTCCGCAAAAAAGTGAAGACCTGGCTGTTTGAGCAGGCGTTCGAATAATTAGTGCAATGATTGGTTAATGAACACTGGAATGGAACAATGGATGACGAATCTGGAACATGTTTTTGATGACGAGACGACAGTGAATGGGTATTGTAGTAACTGTTTATTAATTGTGTAATGTGTTAGGTTGTTAACTGTTTCTATACTGTAGCACTGAATTTTTGCTGTTCGTATTTGTTGTGAACCGCTGTGAGTCGCCTTCGGGCTGAGAACAGCGGTATATAAGTAAGGTAAATAAATAAATATAAATTTTAAAGCCATCTTCTATGTGCTGAGTCAGGTTCAACACTTGCGATGTGCAGCTTTTGCCTTTCCTGAAGCCAGCTTGCTGTGGAATCAGACATGGGTCTATTTTTTCCATAATGGCAATTAAAAAGTGGCGTCTGGCCAAGTTTTTCCCCAAATGCTGGCCTTTTGGCCTTTTGAGGACTTCAACTCCCAGAAGCCCTGAACATTAATCAAAGCAGCTGAGGCTTCTGGGAGTTGAAGTCCAAAGAAATCTGAACATGTTCTAAGCCACGCCCACTCCTGGTAGAGCTGTTCCTATTGGAGAAAAGCAGAGTCCGTGTTCTACACTCAGCCAGCAAGCCACGCCCCCTTGTCAAGCCAAAGACACGTCAGCGGAGAATTGAAGACCCGGATGCTTTCCTTGCCTTTATGGCTTTCTTAATAGGCCCAAACGTGGCACAGGAAGTAAAGTGAGTCCTGGTGGGCGGAAGTCCCGCCTCTTGGGCCCGTGCTGCGTGTACAGTCGCCGGCGAGGACGGAAGCCCTGAAGGGTCATCCCACGTCTTTCTTTGGCGTTCGAGCGGCAAAGAAGCAGGCATGGCTCCCAAGGGCGGCGGCGGGGCTCGGCAGCAGTCGGAGGAGGAGCTGCTCCTGCAGGACTTCAGCCGCAACCTCTCCGCCAAGTCGTCGGCACTCTTCTTCGGGAACGCGTTCATCGTCTCCGCCATCCCCATCTGTAAGCGAGGAAGGGAAGAACTCTGGCTCAGGCGGGATGGCACTGCTAGGCCTCAGGCAGTCAGGAAGGGGACTGGAGAGCCAATGCCAACCAACCCAAGCCTTGGTCAGCTTGGGCCTTCCCTCCAAGTGTTTCAGACTACAACTCAGGCAGTTAGGAATTGTGGGACCTCAAGTCCAAAACACCTGGAGGGCTCAAGTTGGTCGACTTAAAGCAGGCATGGGCAAACTTTGTCCCTCCAGGTGTTTTGGACTGCAACTCCCACAATTCCTAACAGCCGGGCTGTTAGGAATTGTGGGAGTTGCAGTCCAAAACACCTGGAGGGACAAAGGTTTTGTTTTAGGTTTCTAATCTATGTAATTCCTTTATGTTTGTGAGTAAACAGTATTTATTGCTGTTTCTTTCTCAGTGTTGATGTGGAGAGTGTCTGGTTTGCCTACTCTGGAATATGCAACATATAATTGTCCTTCTTTAGGGGTCCCTTTCAAATCTATCATACTATATCTCTCTCTGTGTGAATCATATATATATCTATATCTATGGCTGGATGGCTCTTTGTCAGGAGGGCTTTGATTACGTTTTCTTGCCCTGATAAAGGGTGTTGGACTGGATGGCCTTAAGTATGGGGGTTCTGTGTGGGAAGTTTGCCCCAATTCTGTCGTTTGTGGGGTTCAGCATGCTCTACAGTAGGTGAACTGTAAATCTCAGTAATTACAACTCTCAGATGTCAAGGTCTATTTCCCCCAAACTCCATCTGTGTTCATATTTATGCATATGGAATATACGTGCCAAGTTTGGTCCATATTTATTTATTTACTTTATTTGTATACCGCTCTTCTCAGCCCTTAGGCGACTCAGAGCGGTTTACAACAGTTTAGATATACAGAATACAAAATCATTATGCATTTAAAAACAATTACTAGTATTATATTGCATTACATTACAATATTATAAATATTATATGTATATACAATATATTATATTATAACATGTTATTAGAATAGCACAGGAGACAAGGTGGAACTGTCCCCTGGCCCCTCTTTCTTGCTTGAGTCCAAAGTGCTCTCTATGTAGGTGAACTACAACTTCCAAACTCAAGGTCAATGCCCACCATACACTTATTTATTTATTTACTTTACTTTACTTCTATACCGCTGTTCTCAACCCGGGGGTGACTCACAGCGGTACACAACAACAGAAACAGCAGATTCAAGCCACAGTATAAAAACAATTCACAATCCAAAACTATACAAAGTTAACAACATTACTACGATAACCATTCGGCGTCATCTCATCGTCCAAAACATAAATCAAATTCGTCTTCCGTTGTTCCATTCCTGTAGTCATTACCAATCATTGCACTTAATGTTCGAACGCCTGCTTGAACAACCAGGTCTTTAATCTCTTGCGGAAAATCATTAGAGAAGGTGCCCGTCTAATGTCTGTGGGAAGGGTGTTCCACAGCCGAGGAGCCACCACCGAGAAGGCCCTATCTCTCGTCCCCGCCAGCCGTGCTTGTGAAGCAGGCGGGATCGAGAGCAGGGCCTCCCCGGAAGATCTCAAAGTCCTGGTGGGTTCGTAGGCAGAGATGCGGTCGGATAGGTATCTTGTGTTTTCTAGTGTTTTCTGTTGGTCGTGGGAGTCCTATCTGCCACATTTGGTTCAATTTCATCAATGGTGGAGTTCAGAATGCTCTTTGATTGTAGGTGACCTATAAATCTCAGCAACTACAACCCCCAAATGACAAAATCAATTTTTTGAGTGATGGCCACTCCCTGGGTTATTAGGTGTCTTGTGGTCAAATTTGGCGGCAATTCATCCAGTGGTTTTTGAGTTATGTTAATCCCACAAATGAACATTACATTATATACTAGCCATCCCCTGCCATGCATTGCTGTGGCCTAGTCTGTGTACATGTGCTTTGTGTGCATATATATTTGTGTATATTTGTATATATGTGTGTTTGTGTATATATGCGGTTTTGTAATGTATTTTTATTTTTTGGCTTTTTAAGTCTCTTCTGCTGTGTTTTCAGTGTTTTTATGAGTGATGGTCACTCGTTGGCCTGATAGGTGTATTGTGTCCAAATTTGGTGCCAATTTGTCCAGTGGTTTTTGAATTATGTTAATACCACAAATAAACATTACATTTTTATTTATCCAGAAGATAGAGAAGAAATGTGTGACCAGATGCTGCTCTTATCTTTCACCTGATGGGTTGGCATAATGGGTTAAACCCTCGTGCTGGCCAGACTGAAGACTGATAGGTTAGAGGTTCGAATCCGGGGAGAGCGCAGATGAGCTCCCTCTGTCAGCTCCAGCTCCCCATGTGGGGACATGAAAGAAGCCTCCCACAAGGATGAGCAACATTCTTGCAAATGGCCAATTCTCTCACAGCAGAAGCGACTTGTGGTTTCTCAAGTCGCTCCTGACATGGGGAAAAAACAAAACCTGGTGGCTGTGATGACTATGGCTTCTGAGACTCCTTCCACCCAGCTGAATAAAATCCCACATTATCTGCTTTGAACTGGAATATATGGCAATGTAAACTCAGATAACCCAGTTCAAAACAGATATAGTAGGATTTTCTGCCTTGATATCTGGGTTATAGGGCTATGTGGAAGGGTCCGTGGGGCCCTTCCACACTGCTGAACAATATCCCACATTATCTGCTTTAAATTAGGATATATGGCTGTGTGGATTCAGGCACCTTGCACATAGCTGAATAATATCCCACATTATCTGCTTTGAACTGGAATGTATGCCAGTGTGGGCTCAGATAACCCAGTTCAAAGCATATATTGTGGGATTTTCTGCCTTGATATTCCAGGTTATATGGCTGTGTGGAAGGACCCCAAGATAACCCAGTTCAAAACAGATATTGTGGGTTATATGGCTGTGTGGAAGGGCCCTGGGAGTTTGGACTAGTAGAGACTAATAACATTGAGATATTATTCTATTGTGTTGTCAAAGGCTTTCATGGCTGGAATCACTGTGTTACTGTGAATTTTTGAGCTGTATGGCCATATCCCAGTAGCATTCTCTCCTGACATTTAACCTGCATCTGTGGCAGGCTTCCTCATAGGTTTGCTCAGAAGATGCTTGTGACAGATGCAGGAAAAACGTCAGGAGAGAATGCTATTGGAACATGGCCATACAGCCCAATACATTAACAGCAACCCTATTTTCCTGTTTTCTGTACTTCTTTCAGAACATATGTCTTTATGAACAATTTTATAGTATCAAAGGTATTGTTCGTTATTACATACAAGTTTCCTACTCAGTACAGTATTGATTGAAAATGACATATATATTAATGTCAGTTCCACATAAGAGTAATTCCATATGTGGCTAAAAGTGACAAAAATTCGAGCCACATTAGCAAAGTGTACCAGGAATGTAATGTTGGCGTATGCAAAATGAAGGTATTATAAATGGTTAATATATTATAATCTTAAAGAAATAACTTGCAAATCACCTGCTGAGCTCTACTTGTCTATTTGTGTGTGTGTGTGTGTGTGTGTCAGGAGTGACTTGAGGCTCACATCACTTCTGAGGTGAGAGTATTGGCTGTCTGCAAGGACACTGCGAGGGGATGTTGGGATGTTTTGATGTGTTACCTTGTGGGTGGGTTCTCTCATGTCCCTGCGTGGTGAGCCGGAGCTGATAGAGGGAGCTCATCTGCACTCTCCCCTTGTCTATGAAAACCCTATCAAAACCCTACTATTTATCAGTAGGCAAGGTACATACATACAGGAACAATTTTTGGGTTAGTAAATGAACCACTAGGTGGCATTTTAAACATTTTCATACTATATTCTTCCTGTTCTGAATGAATGAATGAATGAATGAAGATGTCTTAAGATGAACATAAATTGATTTATTTGACACTCAGCCTGTTGAAGACATGATGTTTGGCCTGCAGTGCCACTTACAGGAGCAACTCCAAAAACCTTAACCATCTTCAACATTTTTCCTTAGGGCTGTACTGGCGGATATGGCACATGGATCTTGTTCAGTCTGCAGTCCTTTACAGTGTAATGACACTCGTCAGTACGTACCTGGTTGCCTTTGCCTACAAGAATGTCAAGTTTGTTCTTAAACACAAGTAAGCATTTGAATAGGTTATTTTCCTTACTGTTGGTCTATGTGATATTGAACTACGGGAACCCTTAGCCTATATCACTGTGGAAATTAAAAACTATTTCAGATCATTCTTGTTATACCATGAAGATTACTTAATATTGTATTCTGGGAGGTTTCTGACGAAGGACAGTTCCAGAATTAAGACAATTTATGTGATTTCGTGTAACTACTTTTATGTATGTTAAGAGGATGCTCTTTCTTTTGAAATATACTTGTGTATGCACTTCACCTTCAGTACATGTTGTTGACACATCCTGCCATCATTTCGATGTTCCTGACTATTGAACTGCTATGTTTACTACTCCATGAGGAATTAATTGGAATTGGATGTGATTTAGCTCATTGGCTTTATGTCTTCACCATATTAGTAGTGGGACTTTCACATCACACAGCAGTTCCTGTTTGCTGGCAAGCTATGGGACTTCTGCCTGTGTTCTTCTAGTAGGAAAGCTTGTTATGAAATTGATTGTGAGTCTTCATAGAAAATAAGAATGTAAATTCTTTCCTTTTTTAGAGTTGCCCAGAAAAGGGAAGATGCTGTTTCCAAAGAAGTAACTCGTAAACTTTCTGAAGCAGACAATCGGAAGATGTCACGTAAGGAGAAAGATGAGAGGTAATGCCCCGTGACTGTCCAATATGCTATGCAGCCTTGGCTACAAAGCATTTAAATTGCTTCCATTTCCTAAAAATGGAATTTGTCATTGTGGTTGGGGACTCATGTGGAGTCATTGATTCTTGCAATTTTATGCTTACTGGGTTGATAGCCTGCAACATGCTGGTTTTGACTATTGGTATTTCAAATGTTATTGTAGCATGCTTTTTAAAGCAGCTTTGAATTTGTTCTCTTTGTGTGGGAGGGTGAGAGCTATATGTGTAATTCACCTTCATTTTATATATCTTGATGCATTAGATACACTTTTAAAAGCCGTTTCCCTCTAAAAATGCTTTTCATTGGTGCTGGCATGAATGCTTGGGTACCAAACCCTGAGACTGGTATTCTACCAAATAAAGTTCTCATTTTTCATAATGGCAGTAACTCAAAGGAGTAGACCTTACCTTGCTTAAAAAGTTGTTTGAAAAATGGCTGTGCATCTGAAAGCTAGGAACAATTTTCTTTAGAGATTGCATTGGGAAACCTATCTTGGCTCCTAGCCAGCATTTAAGTACACAGCAGCTGGTCTAAATTATGTGATACAAGACTTGAAGAGGTAGGTAGGTGAGTAGATAGATGATACATATGTACAAAGATAAGCTAGATCGCTAGGATAGCTCATGGATTTGGAGACTTATTTGCAACTTACATGCATTTTCTGAACAATACTGCATTTTCCTCTTTACATGGGTCTGGGTCACACAACAGATCCAACAATTGACTGAAATTCTGTACCAAACGCATCGCCACAATGTTGTAGTGACACACTAGTTCCTAATCTGATTCCTAAAACCCACTTTTAAAACTCCCAGTAACAGAACCACAGGCCTGTGGTTCTGTTGCTGAGAAGTGTAAGCTGGCCCCATCATTCTGAAGCATCCTGTTGGGCTGCAGAAAAAACTCTATTGCTCTGAATGGCTCACCTGCTTTTCAAAATGTGTTTCAGAATCATTTGTGATTGTGGCTCCAGAGCCAGGATCTCAGATGAGACTACAAAGCAGTCACAATATCCTAAGCCTGATTGAACATTGTAACTTTCCTAATGCCAGCCATTTGTAATATTTCATAAAGTAGGGACATAGCTATGTCTATATATATCTTATAATATGTCATCAGAAAGTGTCTTCCCTACCAAAAATGAGGACAGTTACGTGGTTTTGTGGTTGATTTCCTCCCATCATTTCCCACATGCTGCTTGGCAGTCAAAGTTACCCACAACTTGTTTCAGTTATAATAAGCCTCCCATTGTTGATTTTTCCCCCAGTCACCTTTCCAAAAAGATATTTATGTGAGTTGCAATGAACATAAGTTGAGAAATCTGTATCACTAGTGGATATCTCTATGAATCAACATTTAATAGTGTGGCATGGTAATACCTATCATGTTAAACAAAATGTGACTTGCAATATGGCATCCTAAATACAACATGTAACAATTGGGGGGGGGGGGCTACTACCAATTTGTGCATAAGACTGATGAACCGTAAATTAGACATCTCTACCAAAAACAAAATACTGGAGCAAAGTTTTAGCTTTGAGTAACCCAGAAAAGTGAAGTGTTTGAAAGGTTTTTGAAAAGGTTTTATTAAAAATGTTCATGCGCAGTAAGAACTATACTCAAAATAAAAGAAAACAGAAGTTAAAAATCCATAAAGGATAAGTAGAAAGAAAATAATATGTATTTGATTTTGAACTTAAATATAATTACCATTTATCAACTGTTATTGTTTAAACCAGGAGTTCTTAAACTGTGCTCCATTGAATCCTTGGGGCTCCATGTGTGATAGTGAGGGGGTCCTCAGCACCATGCTGCTTCCTGCCTCCTCTCCTCCTGAGAAATGCAGTGAAATTAAAGTTTGGTGCTGCTACAACAGCATCTGCAGCAGTGTCCTCTCAGGGCACAGACTATTTCTCTCCCGCCTCCCTGGGGCTCCACAGGAAACATTTATTTCAAAAGGGCTTTGCGGCTGAAAAAGTTCGAGAACCTCTGGTTTAAATCAATGTACTAGTCATCAAAACCTAAAGTCAGCCTGTTGTTCTCTTTACTCTACACAAAGAACTAATTAAAGCATCCCAATTTTTCCAAATGGTAACCAGTGATTTTGTTTTAATTAAAATGTTAATTTGTCCATTCCAGCTTTGTGTGCCATTGGTTGTGTTTCAACTTCTGCAGATATAATCTTGCTGCTGTGGACATGTATCATTGTGATTTTCTATGTTTCCACCAATTCCCAACAAATAAAATTCAGATTTCATTTGAAAATTAACTTTCAGAGACTTTTTAATCATGCTGTTTTTGATTTCAGAATCTTTTAGGCACTATGTTTTCAGTCATTTTATTCAGTTTCATTAATGTAAGTTTTACCTGGAAAATGGCTTTACAGTTATATGTATGTATGTATGTATGTATGTATGTATGTACAGTATCCTATAGGAATTTAAGGAGAAAAATTGCTTCATTTAAGGAAGTGTTCCACATTTGTTAATCTTGAAATGCCTATTGTCTCTGCAGAATTTTGTGGAAGAAGAATGAAGTGGCAGACTATGAAGCCACAACATTTTCTATCTTCTACAACAATACTCTCTTCTTAGTTTTGGTCATTGTTGCTTCCTTCTTTATACTGAAGAATTTCAATCCCACCGTGTATCCTTTCTTCCTCAAAATTTCAAGCAATTCTCGGTAGATAGCTCAAGGAAGTCACTAATAATATTTATAGTCTAAAGGTGTATAATGTTCAAGGTACAAATATAGTACAAATACCGCAGCAATGGTAGAGGAAATAGCTCCACATCGCTACATTGAAACCCAAATAAATAAAAATGCATGCTACAGTGAAGAAAAGATTAATAAAATATTATTTTGCCATCAGCAGCAAGCAGGGACAAAAAGTGTGATGTCATTTTGCTTGAAGCTGATTAGTGTTCGAGACCAAAAGGTTTAACTACATTTTTTTCAAGTCAGGAGTGACTTGGGAATTTTACTATCCTGTGGAGGCTTTTCTCATGTCCCTGCATGAGAAGCTGGAGCTGACAGACAAGAGCTCACCCGCTCCCCGGATTCGAACTACCAACCTTTCAGCCAGTAGTCCTGCTGACACAAGGGTTTAACCCATTGCACCACCGGGAGCTACCATTGAAATTACATTACATACTGCCTTTGCTAAAAATTCCCTGTCCTTATATTTTCAGCTTTATATAAAGTCACCCTGAAGAAATTTTTCCTGATGTAGCTGCTGTAAGTGTATTAAGGTTTTTGGGGGAGTATTTCTGTCAGCAGTATTTTGCAAGGTGAAAAGGTGTTTTATGTTTGGCCAAGCTTAGACAAGTTCTTATAATAGTTCTAAAACTATTACTGTTTTTAGAGTTTTGACATTTATTCCAGTCGCCTGACTGATAGTGCGTCTGCATGACCTGTATTGGTGTAGGGCATGGATACAGGCTCTTACCACAAATGCAGCTTCCTGTTGGGTTCTTTAGTTGGTATTTTAATTCCTTTTCTGTAGCTAACAGTGGAGGCAGTGTATGAGTTTACTTAACCCGTTCTATAGTGGGAAGTTGCAAACACAATAAATTACTTAAAATGGTTGATGAGTAGATGTCTTGAATCCAACCTCACTTTCTGGCTGGGATTTCTAGCTAATCCTGTAATTGCTTCCATATGTGACCTAAATCTGGTTTCAGGTCCTAACTAGAGAAGCATTGTGCTGTATTTAGGTTACCCCAATTAACAAAGTAGATGTGTTGGTAGACATTGTTACCTTTATAGAAAATTTGGTACCAAAGGTAGAAAAGAGATGGAAATAATACAGGTAAGTTCTTACTCCATAATAAAAGAGCAGTTGAAGATGTTTTAGTTAGACGTTTTATTGAAAGCTAAAGATATGCACACTGTGTCAGCTGAGCTAACAAAATATGCTAAATGATTTAGGGACCAACTGAAAGCTTTTTCCTCAATGCATCTCGATTTCTTTCCCACCAGCCTCCATTTTTTGTATGAGTCCCCATCAAGATCCACAAATCTTGTTTTTTAATATGCTGTGGGTAGCTGGTGAAGCAGGGATTCTGGAGGGAGATGCTATTCACCTTGCCTGTTGTAAGAAGGCACACGCAAACATAGTAGAATTGTCTAGATTAGAATTTCATTCTTTCCCAGTTCAATCTTTAGTGTATTGCATAGCAAACTGTAATGGTAAGGTACCACTCTATGCTGGATTTAATTTATTTATTTATTTGCTTCACTTTTATACCGCATTTTTCAGCCCTTAACAGGCGACTCAATGAGGTTTACAGTGCAATTAAAACATAACAGTGCAACAACAGGATCAACACATCGATCCACAACGATTAACAATCAGACAGGACAAATCAACAAGACAACATATATAACGCCTCAATTGAAATCAGATCCATTCTCATAGTCCTTGTGCCGTTCCTATGTTCCATTTGCCGTCTTCCTTGATTAGTTGCATTGCCTAGCCAAACGCTTGTTCGTAAAGCCAGGTCTTGACCAGTCTCCGAAACGTCAGCAACGAAGGTGCCTGTCTGATGTCTGCTGGCAAGGCATTCCATAGCCGAGGGGCCACCACTGAGAAGGCCCTGTCTCTCGTCCCCGCCAAGCGCGCCTGTGACGCAGGCGGGATCGAGAGCAGGGCCTCCCCAGACGATCTTAATGTTCTAGTCGGTTCATAGGTGGAGATGCGTTCGGAGAGGTAAGCGGGGCCAGAACCGTTTTTCTAGCCCGTCTTCATCTTCCTATCCATTTTATTGTCCCAAAAAACTTTCCAGCAAGACAGGAGGTGGGATCAGGGGGCTGGCTGGCAGGCAGAGGGCAGAAAAAGCCTAAAAAGAAGCTTTTCTGTTAGAGTCTTTGTTAACTAAGTGTATTCATAAGTATTAATTTAGATGAGTATGTTTACAAGCATCTAGAACTTCTTGACTCTACAGTGAGCTGAGTAGTACTCAGGATCTGGATTTGAATAGTATGCTTTAGATGTCTTTTTAAAGATATTCTGTCAGTTTATTAGTCATAGTTTGCTCCTTTGTTTTATCCTTGACATGTTGCTTTTTCAGAAACTACATCCTTTCCATCAGTGCTTCATCTGGATTGATTGCGTTGCTGTCAACAGGCTCTAAGTAAATGGAATTGTTTGGGAGGATGGGTCCTGCCCAATTGCATACAGGTGTAAGAAGGGGGGTATTGCCTTTTTTATACTTTGAAACCATGATCATTACTTTTTTTAAAAGAAGAAAGAAGATGGGAAAAAAATACTATAGGCCTCATCTTTAGTTAACAGAGCTGAGCTCCTCAGATCTTCCAGACTAGGCCCAAACACACCTAAAATATTTCTGACAGTTACAACCTGTCAGGCATTGGATTTCAGGAACATTAGTTTATAGCTAAGCCTTCTGTGTTTGGCATCCTCCCGGAGAAATGTTTGTAATCTGTCAGCAAAACACATCTTGTGGGCAGAAAACAGTAGCCTTGTTCTATAGTATTTTGTAACCATGTTTGAATAAAAGCATGAAAAATAGTCTTTCAGTGTCGTTCTTTTGGATATACCAGTCTTTTGACTTATGTCCCTTATGGTGGAAATGTATGTGTGTTTACTCTGCTCAGTTGTGTTTATTTACTAATAGGTTGCAGTACTGTTACTGGAGATTGAGGGTGGTTTTGGTCTTGGTCTGCAGATACTGGGCTGGCCATAACAGAAACCTAATGCAGAATTAGTCAGACCTAAGGGTTATCAGCATGGCTGGCACTGTATTCTTAAATGTTACTGGGATTGTAAGCATATGTTGAGTAATTTCATCGTTTCTAATAAGGAATGTCTTTGTGGCATTAGTTTTATTACTGTAAAGTTTTTCAGCCATTGTACTTTCAAAGTGTTTTGTATAAACCAAGGACTCCTTTGTCGTATGATGAGTGCAGTTTTCAACTAAAGCAAGATTAGTTTAAATAGCCTGATTTAGCTCAATGATTCCCTTTTTAATGGAACTCGTATGTGTCCCCAGGGTTATCTGATAAATGTAATTAAGCAAGATTTGCTGCATATATACAAGCTAATCCTTTTACCTCCCCCCTCCAACTTACTATCTGCTTTTTATATTATGGAGAAATGAGGTATAACAGTCTAGTAATGAGATGCTAATAAAAGAGAAACATGATTTGGTGATGATAAGTTATATTTGCCTGCAGCGGGAGAAGAACATCAGACGAGCAGTGCCCTTTTTACCTTGTGATCATTTTCTTTAAAAAAACAGTTGAACAACTATGCATTTTGGGAAAGTATTTAAATCTCATAGTGATAACTTTAAGGTATTAGAACCTATGATGGGATCTATGTATATAGACTGCTGTTCATTTCTTTGAGCACAGTATAAAGGATAATAAATTCACTAAAATAATTTATATAATCTTTGAACAGCCATTCAGTTTCATTTTTAAGAAATTTGGGGCATTAGAAGACACAACTTACATCGAAAAGGCATTTGGAGAAAATAGGTAAATTCTGCAGCTTGTTAAATACTTGAAGTAAAACTATGTTTTATGACCACTGATGAAATTCTGGCTACACAATGTCTCATCATGAAGCAGTATACATTTTGAAAGTTCTTCCTCTGCCTTCAAATACTTCAGGATGGATTCTCCTTTCTTCTGCAGCGTGCTCTCTACTCGATGTGATTGTGGAGTTAAATTCATATGAATTGATTCTCATAGTAATAAACTGAAACAGCTGTGGAATAATTAATACAATCCTCCTGCTCCAAATTAATGCGTCTGACATCATAATTTAGGTGCACAAATTGCCTTTATTATGTCCAAGCAGATAGAAAGCAGAATCTAGTATACAGCTGCTGAATTCATTTATACAGATCACTGATTTGATTAAACACAATAGAAGGGGAAGAGACGGGTTCCTTAAAATTCCAGCGCCTTCTGTAGTAAGCTCTGTTCATGAAAATTGCAACTGTAGGGAATCAGTGAAATGGAGGGGTTGTGTTTCAGAATGAAGAGTTGCATCCTGTATATTCAGGTACTACTTTACTGCTTACTAAAAAGAAAGAATACCTTCCCTGTACATGTTGCTCTGTTTATTTCATTGGCGGGACAAATCTTTGGTAAAGGATTCACATTGTGTGACTATTGCCATTGAAACAAACAGTGGAAAATGGGAAGGAAGTATGGGCTGATCCTGAGACCAGATGAGTAGTGTAAGGAGCATGTTCATAAAATAGTGACATAGTGGATTTTCTTCCACAAGGGGGAACTAGGAACCTTTGAGTACAGGGAGCTCTGCTATTTGTCTTAGCCAGCAAGGGGAACTGATGCATGAAAGCAGGAAGAGGCTATGTTTTGTGCAGTTGAAGGTATTCAACATGCAGGATCATTTGACTAGCCTGATCTGGACCTTATACTACTCCCAAGTTGTTTCTGACATGGTGACCCTAAGGCTAATATATCATGTTTTCTTACCAAGATTTGCTTGGTGGTGCAATATATTTGTCTTCCTTTTAGGCTGAGAGAGAATAACTTGCATATGGTCACTCACCCAGTGGATTTCCACTGCTGAGCAAAGATTAAAGCTCTGGTCTCCAGATTCATGATCCAGTAGTCAAACCACTACACCATGCTGGCCCATAAAATGCATAAAAATTATATGCATGCACTGGTAGACACCCATGTGAATCAAGACAGGCTCACATGGGATTGCACCATACAGGTTTACCACTATGACATACAGCAATTTTTCTAATCTTTGCCTTCTCTTTTGGACTACAAATTCCAGTGTTCCTAAGTATCGGCCATGATAGCTGTGGCTGTTGGCAGGTAACATTCCAAATTTGTTGAGAGCTATCTGCACTATGCTTATGCTCTGTATATGTTTATTTTTATTCAGGAGCTAGATCTGCAGTCTGCATAGACCGAAGTGCATCATATTCACTGCAGATGTTAACAAATCCACAGAACAGAGCTAGCAGTTTTCATGCAGTCTTTGCTGGCTTCTAGCCCTACTGCTACAAAAGGACAGGAATATCAATATAGAGGAATGTTGTAGAGGAAGGAAGATACAGGGGCAAAACTAGCAGGGATGGTGCCTCCTTTCCAGATTTTGTGACCCTGATAAAATTAACTCCAATTCTCAGCTGGGGAAGGATAGATTTCCCCAGCTGCAACATATTCCTCCCTGTCATATGATGAGTGGGAAGTGTGCTCAAATGGGTAACAAAAACCTATTAGCTTTACAAAGGGGAGATGCATATTGATAGAACTGATCTATAGATACAGATGAACAAAGTTGTTCTCAGTTTTGGATTCATCTTGGGGGTTGTGGCTAGTAAAGATGGCTGAGGAACTCCTGCTCATCACAACACTGACTGCTACACCCAGTTGTCACCAGCAAATAGAGGCTTAAAGCTTTTGGCATGTTAGCGTGTGCAAGAAAGCTAACAAGAAACTTCATGGCACACTTCTGTTATGGACAGGTTGGGCTTAGTAGCAGTGAATCCTTGTTAACCAGCACAGGGCAGCTGGAAACCCCAGCGCCCATGTGTTGAGAGTTGTGACCAAGCAGAACTCTGCTGTCGTGATCATAAAGAAATTATCAATGACGAAGAGAAAGACTGGATAAAAATCTTCTCTGGGATTTCATTCAGTTGTGATGAATTATTCACAACTTGGCTTTCTGAAAATCCACACAATTGAAGTGTACAACTGACACCTGCACAAAAGTATGAAGAGAGGAACAAACGCCTTCCTCATTTGTGGATATCTGCTCTTTGGAAATTTTACAACTCTGCACATTATATACAATTATAATACATTATATTAGTTACATTTAACAAATGGAAGGTGCACTATCTCTGTTTACAAACTTCCAAAGGAAAATGTAAGTTTTAATAAAAGAATACTGAAAAATGGCAGGAGTAATTTTTGTTTGAGTTTAGCCTTACCAGATTTGATGACTTCTTCAGCCTGATGTTAATAATCTTGATGCAGTGGAGGGTTTTTTATTTGTGCTGTGTGTAGCATCAAGAAAAAAGAATGAGATTGCAGCCTCTTGTCACTGTAGATGCTAGATACAGTCCAGTAAAAGTTTTAAGTCTTATTATTGTAATAGAAGTGCAATTGATGTTCATTAATTTATTCAGCTGAAAAACCTCTCAAAGTAAATCATATTTGATCAAGAAAAAAATAAGACAGATTTTGTCTGCAGGCTAATATTATCTGGAAGTTAACTCCATTTAACTCCACAGGATTTCCTTGCTTGGTAGCACAATCTTAGGAACAGTGGTTCCCAACCTTTTTTTTTGACTAGTGACCACTTGAACAGGAACCACTTTGACCAGGAACCACTTTCCAACATTAGTATCAAAAGGTTTATGAATCAGTTTTTGGTCAACTTTAGATTTGGTTTGGTTATTTGGGGTGCCGATTCAGAAAATTGCATTTGATAGATCACATCAGCTCTAGTTTCTGATACAGAACATAAGCCATCCAGTAGTTGCCATCTGCTTGCCCACAGAAAACCATATTTAATAACCCTCGGCACTATAAAAGGGTTTTGCGAGACCAGTCGCTCTCGTTGCAACGATGTAATAACGGTGAGGCCGTGGACCATATTTTAGTTCTTGCGGACCAAGCACTGGTGGTCCACGGACCACAGGTTGGGAACCACTGCATTAGAAACACATTCTGTACCCAATAAGACTTGCATCCAGATCTGTGTGTATAGGATGCCAGTCAATAGATGTAGCTCTGGCTAGGCCATACAACCTCCATCTTCAACTACTACTTGAGTACTAAATCCTGAACTAACCTATGGACAGAGACCCAAACCTTGCTTCTAAATGGAAAGCCCTTTTTCAGCTGGAGTGCAAACAAGACTAGTTATTTAGAACTCAATTCAGCATAAAAATACAAATGGGAAACCAACAAAAATCAGAACTTGCACATCCTTGAGATAAAGCTTGAAGATTCTTTACACTAGAAATTGCAATTTTATTTTACCCTAAGCCTTTTAAACAGTTTCTGGCTTTTTGTTCACTGAAAAAATATATCTGTACATCCCTCTTTTAATTTCCAAGTACCTAAAGCTTAGAAATCTTGTATTGTTTCTCTACATGTATATTTTCACTGCATAAATGAGAAGTATCAAGAGAAAAAAGGAGCCATGGATGGGTGTGCAATCTACTGGGAAGTTCTCTTACATAAGCCAGAGGACTTTGAAGGCCAAAAGCAAAGGTACCACCTTAAAGTGTGGGGAGGCTAAATTAACTGATTTATGAGGCCATAAAGAAGACTCCAGCAAAAGCATTCCAGCGGGGAAGCATGTGGGAATGCGGAAGTGCTTCATCAGCGTCGCAGATGGACGATGAAAGCGACAGCTCCCCTGGCAGCCAGAAAACGTTAAATAGCCTCTGTCTATGTCTGTATATGTTTGTATGTCAAAAATTGGCATTGAATGTTTGCCATATATGTGTACACTGTAATCCGCCCTGAGCCCCCTGCGGGGTGAGAAGGGCGGAATATAAAAGCTGTAAATAAATAAATAAATAAACAAACAAATAAATAAAGAGCTGCTTCCGCCAGCGGAATTGGGGAAAGGAAGGAAGGTAATCGCACTCCTTCCTCACTAAAACCTGCTTTAGAAAGCAGGCAACCCCTCAAGCGAGATTCTGATGCTCCTGAGTGTTACAAGGAAGGGGTTGTGGGGGGGGGGGGGGGGTGCAAAGAGGAGGAGAAAAAGTCTTGTGATTGGCACACAGCTGGATCAAGGCCATTGCTACTGTCTGCTCTACATCGCTTAACCCATCTCAATGACATCTGAACCTGAGAAGGTCCCACTCAGTTCTGCTCATTGAATGGAGTCAGAGCTGAATCCAGATTCTTGAGTTTCAAGGAGGAAAAAGTAAATAGGATCTCAGTTGTTTAGGGAGATCAGCTGTGATTTTGAATTTTGGTGGAGCTTACCACCTTGAAGAATCTAGTAAATCATAGAGACTGCTGAATAATTCTAACTGTAACTTGATAGTATTGACTCAGTACTGTACAAGGTACAGAGTGCTATTTTAGCCATGCAGTCCAGTTTAATCATGCAATGCTTTAGGATCTGTAGTCCTTCTTGCTCAAAGGTTTGTTACCCAAAATATTATCAATCTCATTCACAATGTGGGATGTCATCTTCGGAAGAACCTGTAAACATAAAATGCACACATTTGTTTTATGATGTTGTGTTATTTTTTTTTTTAAAAAAAAATCTGTTCCAAATGAGACTGATAAAGTTATAAATGTAAATGGCATAAACCAGAGCTTTCCAAAGACTTCACATTGGTAACACATTGTTGCATAGTCATTTAGTTTTACTAGCAAACTAGGGGTTAAACCAATTCCTTGTAAGAGATACAGACACATGCAAAAATTCTAATAATGAAATGTATGTATATCTCATGAAAATCTTTTTTTAAAAAAATATGATTTATGCAACACACCTACACTCTGTGGCTGACACACTAATGTGTAGCAGCATACCGTTTGGAAAGGTCGAGTATAGACACTTAAATTGTTTCTATTGATCATTACTTTTGCACGAAGAGAGGCATTTTTACTTACCTGTATGGCACCAAGATTCTCTATTAGTTGATCGGGGTTGGAAGAGCCAAGGAGAACGGAACTTACACCTTCGTTACGTAGACACCATGCTAGGAATACAGAAAGCATATAGCTGTCATTCAAGGTGAGCAGTCTAATCCAGGATTCCAGTTCATGCAGTGGCCAAAAACATCTATCAACCTCCTCCCCCCCCCCCAACCCCCAAGTGATGTGAAGTCAGATCTGCTTATGGGAAATTAATTGCACCATGTCTAAATTACAGGAGTACAGTCTTATGTGGCCCTGCCTTTGGAAACTGGGAGTCCAACGTGTGGTCATCTTCCTGATCAGGATTAGATACAAGGATAATACATTTCCTCCATTGAAACAACTGGTTGCCAGCATTTTCCTGTGCATAATTCAAAATGCTAGTTATTACTTTAAAGTTCAACAGAAATTGGGTCCAGACTATCTGAAAGACTGTTATCTCCCTATGTGAACCAGCCCAAATTGTGGGATCTTTGGGAAAAGACTTTCAGTCCCACCAGCATCCCAAGCCTATTTGATGAGGTCAGGCCTCACATATGGAATACAATGTACAATTCTGGGCACCACAATTCAAGAAAGATATTCACAAGCTGGAATGTGTCCTGAGGAGGGCAACTAAAGGTCTGGAGACCATGCCTCACGAGGAGTGACCTAAAGAGATGGGGATGTTTATCCTGCAGAAGAGAAGGTCAAGAGAGGTGTGATCATCATGTTTAAGTAGTTGAAATGATATATGGAAGAGAGAGCAGGTTTGTTTTCTGCTGCCTGGAGACTAGGACTCGGAGCAATGGTTTCAAATTACAAGAAAAGAGATTCCACTTGAACATTAGGAAGAATTTTCTGACTAAGAGCTGTTCAGCAGTGGAACTCTCTACCTCGGAGTGTGGTGGAAGCCCCTTCCTTAGAAGCTTTTAAACAGAGGCTGGATGGCCATCTGTCAGGGGTGCTTTGATTTTGCTTTTCCTGCATGGCAGGGGGTTGGACTAGATGGCCCATGTGGCTTCTTCCAACTCTGCTATTCAATGATTCTAGGACCCGCAGGATAAGACTTATTTAGGCAAACCTCTGACTTTTAATCATATGGTAGCAGGTTGCTTGGAAGTGGTGTACTGCGCTTTTATCTTGTATCTTTTCAGTTATGCATAAGATCCATTTTAATCATGTGCCTTGTGAATATCATTGTGACTGAATTTTTCTTAACTTCTCTAAAATACATTTTTAATCAAGTCTTTATTTTAAATTTTGTATGTTGCTTTGCATCCCATGGTGGGAAAAATAGGGATAGAAATTAAATCAAAGAATAATATGTCATTTTACTGAAGTCTCAAATAGTGCTATCTAATAATATATATTCAAGTACATAGGAACCTCTGACATCCCAAGTTAGCATCAATAGCTCTTCTCATCAATAGCACAAATAGGTAAGTAAGTAAGAAAAGGACAGAAGTAAATTCATGGCAACTGAAAACAGATGTTCTGATATAGGCTGGTATCCTCTATGACAGTTATGATTGTGTAACCTGCTTTAAATCAGCTTTATGAGCCATGAAAGTCTCATAATCCTCACTTAAGGGAAAGCAGCCACTGCAATAGACAGGGGTCTATTCTCCTGTCAACCAGGAAGCAGATGACTGACGTTCTCACCCCACAATGCTAGTAGGGCAGTGTTTCTTAACCTTCCTAATGACACAAGCCCTTAATACAGTTCTTCATGTTGTGGTGATCCCCAACCATAACATTATTTTTGTTGTTACTTTGTAACTATGCTCTTGCTACTGTTATGAATTGTAATGTAAATATCTGATATGCAGGATGCATCTTCATTCACTGGACCAAATTTGGCATAAAGACCCGATATGTCCAAATTTGAATACTGGTTGGGCTGGGGGGATTGATTTTGTCATTTGGGAATTGTACTTGCTAGGATTTATAGTTAACCTATAACCAAAGAGCATTGTGAAGCCCACCAATGATAGAATTAGGCCAAGCTTCCCACACAGAACCCCCATGCCTTGAAGGGACTTGCTGGTGCAAGCCTCCCTCCAGCCTCGCACTCTCTCCCTCGCCTGCAAATGCGCACCATGCTGCCATGCCCTGAGCATGCCTGCTCTCCCCTCCCCGCATGGAGTCTCAGAAATAGCCCTTTCCTTGGCTGAGAGGCTGGCCAATCACAGCAGAGGAGGACTTTTGGTGGAGGATTCGCAGTCTGTTTCCAAAAAGGAAGAGAAAGACAGGCAAAGAGATCTTCAATCTTCTCTGCCGAAGGGGTTCCTAAGGCCATCAGAAATATATGTTTTCTGATGGTCTTTGGTGACCCCTCTGAAACCTTCTCATGCCCCCCCAGGGGTCCCAATCCTAGGTTGAGAAACGCTGTAGTAGGGGATTGTGACAAGTATCCCATTTCTGGCTGTCACAATGGAAATTGCTTGTGAAAGACAATGAGATTGTTAGCTACTTCCAAAGTGATAGGAGAACAGACCTCTCAATCATAGCAGCTCCTGACTGGTAAGTGGAAATTGATAGCGATGTATCTGCCGTAGTTTCAGAAGTCAAGGCATCAACTTTATTACTATGCAGTTGAGGAGGATAGGTGATTTGAAACGTATTCTGCCTATTCTACTCTTCCTTGATTAGCATTCTGTGCTGTCCTTTATTTATGAAAGTTTTTGATATCATTAAGAACTATCCTTTCTTTTCAGTCCAATTGTAGACTTTGAGACATTTATTCCTTTGCCGGTTTGCAAAACTCCAAGACAGGTTTTCCATTTTAACATCATCAGATATTTTTTTTATTGTAAAATTATTCCTACAATAACTGCATTAGGATATTGGGGGGGGGGGGGGGAGATTATCTGTCAGGGCCAGAAATTATACTTCTAAGTCTACCTGAACTTCATAAGATGATTTATCATCTCCCACCCCATCATTTATATGAAACATTTAGATGGTGTCTTTTGCAAGGCAGGAAAAGACAGCACAGTTAAAAATGACAAATGGCCTCTCTTGAGTTTCTGTGCTGTGTTAGCGGTATTTCAGCCGCCTGAGTCAATCATGGCCACACAGCTGTTGGGGGGGAGGCATGCACCCAGAAGAGGAATTCAAGAAAAATAGCTGTCCTGTTCATGATTATTTCATAGCAATTGCCAATCCCGTTTTGTGGCCGTTGTCCATAAAAATGGAGGCAATTTTCACCTAAAGAGACTGAAAGTAGTTGCCTATAGGATGCTACATAGTCGTTGGGTGGCTTTGTATTACACCAGTGTGCAAATAGCCTCTCAACTACAGTGCGTGAATGCAATATTTATTGCTTTTATTGATCCAGTTTCATTGGTTTTTAATTTGTCTCATGTTCTAATAAATCTGTTTTATGACTCAGTGAGATTTGGCTTACTTGATTTTAACTCTAAATTCCTGGTTTCCCATGTTTTTAAGAGAAAGGCAGGATAAGCAATAAAAAGTATTGGCAGAGAGAGAAAGAAATTGCCAGTTAATGCACATGGTTGACATTCCATTACCCAACTGCAATGAATAATGTGCAAAGGCAAAGTGCCTGTATGTGTGTGCCTTCAAGTCACCTGTCCCTTTATGACAACCCCCTTAAAGATCATAGGGTTTTCTTAGGCAAGAAATCCTCAGAAGTGATTTTGCCAGTTCCTTCCTCTGAAATATAGCCTACAGCAGCTGGTTGGTGGTACATAAAGGCAATATGTCCATTGTGTCCTTTAATGTGCTGCCACATACAGAGTGGTTTCAGACATTTGCAACTCTGCTTAGGGCACTTTCAGTTGGAAAGTACCAATGTCTCCAAAACAACTCCTTATGTGGTGTGCAACTTATTCCTGTGCAAATCATTAGCGGTCCTGTTGTAATCTCCAAACATGTATTGCACACCAAAGAATGGCCTTTTAGGATAAATAAAGGATATTCTGAATTTCTTTTTGACTTTATCTTTGCATTGCAACATGCCTGAACATGGTGTATTTCCCCCTCTGTGTAATACACATAAACATTATGCAGCTTTTCAAGTAACCTGCATTTCTTGTTTTATTATGTTGATGATTACTTGTTTTCAACTAGGCAGAAATTATCTAATTTCACATCACAGCTGCCTAAAGTGGAAAGCTGCTCTAGAAAGAACTGTCAGTTTGGATGTACCCATTGCAACCCACAATATTCCCCCAGGAGAATGTCCTTTTAAGTTATGTTTCATTCGGGGACTTCTCTGGAAGTTTGAGTTATGTTTCACTCAGGAAAGTAAGAAAGTTACTTGGTGTTTCAGGAGGTGAGTCAAAGATTTTGTTTGTATTCATATTGCAATGATTGCACAAGATTACAGACTTAACATAGCAGTACAGAAGGAATGGACTGATAAAAGGAATAATATAACTATTTGAGGGTATTAAACAAAATAAGGACATTGTCCCTCCAAATAAGAAATCTGTCTACAAATGAAAATTTCTTCAGACTCCAAATTTTTAGCCTTGTAGAGTGAGACAGTGTAAATCATTCGTACTTAAATTCTTATACACGTTCATAAAAAGATTTCCCTTGGCCCACTTCTATTTATCACAGGACTCTGAAACTGCACATGCGTAATGATATAAGTCTCTATAGGTTACATGCCAATTTATAACTCAGAACTGATAATGGTCTTGATTTTACTGGTGCTGAAGTGGTGTGAGGTTTGATAATGGACCCAGTGGAATGTATTCTGTAGAGCAGTCATCAAGTTCCATTACTTGAAAGGCCACACACCGAATGAGATGTTTAATGAGATGAAAGAGGTTAATGGTGATGATTCCCCATCATATGATGTAGTCAAGAACTGGCATTATCAATTCAAATGTGGTCGGACTTTGGTGGAAACAGCTCCAATTCCAGGGTGACCCCACTCTGCTATTGATGAACACACCATCAAGCAAGTGGAGGTCGCCATTTTGGAAAATCGCCGCATAACCATTTGCCACCTAGCCCAAAATGCCAAGATTAGTGAGGGGTCAGTGGAAAAAAATCATCCAAGACTATCTTTACATGTATAAGTGGGTCCCCCGGCTGTTCACATCTTTCCAGAAGAGGGAACGAGTCGAATGCTCTCGGGCTCTATTGACAATGTGCATGGAAACCAAGAGGACTTTTTAACAGACTGATCACATAGAATGAACACTGGGTCCATCACTATGATCCTGAGACTAAAGTTCAGTCAATGCAATGGAAGCATCATAACTGACCACCTTCAAAGAAGGCACATGCACAATTCTCAGGAGGCAAGGTCATGCTCACAGTATTTTGGGACCAGTACGGAGTAGTATTGATAGATTTCCTAGCAAAGGGTACTATGATCAATGGGGCATAATATGTTTCTCTGCTGTGGAAATTGCAGGAGGCCATCAAAACCAAGAGACAATGTGGCATGTTCATCAAGGGTGTCCACTTTCTGCAAGACAATGCACCAGTTCACAACTCACATGTTGCTCAAATGGAAGCACGTTCCTGTGGCTTTGAAATTCTACTGGATCCCTCTTATTCACCCGGCCTTGCATCATTGGACTTCCACCTCTTTCAAAACATGAACTTACTTTTGAAGGGCAAGCATTCTTCAGATGATGACACTCTGATTTCCAAAGTCACAACATGGCTTTTGGAGCAACCTGTAAACTTCTGCAAGCAAGGTGTTTACAGATGCTTAAAAAGATGAGAGAAGTGTGTGTCCCTAGATGGCAACTATATAGAGACGGACTAATAACTGTGCCAAGTTTCATTGCTCTCAGTACACAGGCGTGGGTCAGGGGAAATCTTTAATGAATGCCCCTTGTAGGACTCTTACCCCCCCCTTCCTTTTCTACCTGTGAGAAATTAAGATAACATTTTTTATTTAAAAATTTGCAGCTGTTCATACCCATTCAGATGAAAGAGTTCATATATGAGAAAAAAATTGGAAAACCTCCCTAGTCAAACATTAAGAACACTCAAGACCTGAACAGTAAGACATGGAGACACTGAGGACTCCAGAATTTCTCACCAACGGCTAGCTGAGGTAGTGTGCATCCAAGGCGTTCAGCAATTGGAAAGAGATCTTTCAGCTTTGATTGCTGCTTTCTCCCATCCTCACTCACAATCTTCTCCTTCAACCACTGGTAGCACTGGAAGCATGAAACACAATTGGGATATTACAAAACACAACCCACTAATCTAATAGTGAACATGTTATTCAAATAATATTCAACCCATGGCCATTATGATTGTAAGTACAAACTTGGAAAAATTAGTTTCTGAAATACAGCTCCTGAAATCTGGGTGATTCTAGAAACTGTCACCACAAACCCAAAGGTGTAACTAAATTCTGCCCACCCCCAGTGAATTTCTCCCCCAAGTCTCCAAATGTCTTGCACTGTAAACAATGAGACACTGATAATCCTTCACACTTCCAGTAATTATACATTTGTTGTATTGACATTCCTTTGCCATCTTTCATGCCTTTTTTGCTTTGGATGCTTAATTCCATTTCTAAATGGCCAGCTGACATTTTAAGCTCCTGCAATGCTAGAAGTTTGGAGATGGACAGAAAATTTCATGGGAGGGAGCATATTTATCAGGGCAATGCCCTCATTTTGCCTCACACATCTTCCCAAAACCTTACATTTTTCTAACTTATGAATTTAGTTTTTGCCTTCAAGTAGGAGCACTGTCCTTTTATAGGTTTATTAAAACATAATTCTGTTAATGATGCTGTCTGTGGGCATCAGCTGTGTACTATCTGAGCTGAGGTTATTTCACTGCCAATATCATCAAAGGCAGTCATGCTTACCACAAGATGTTTGAGGAGAATGTGTATTTGCCCTCAAGTCCCCTGTTAACTTATGGTGACCTCATGCATTTTACAGGGTTTTCTTAGGCAAGGAATATTCAGAGATGGTTGTATCAGTTCCTTCCTCTGAAATATAGCCCACAGCATCTGGTTTTCATTGACAAATTTCCCATCCAAGTACTATCTAGGGCTGGTCCTGCTTAGATTCCAAGATCAGTCAGGGGCCTGTTGTCTTTAAAGCATTTAGGCTCCCCTTGAGTAGGTTAACTTTTATTTATTTTAGTTTTGTCATTCACAGTAGCTACAGGCATAAACTTGCTGTAGAAATGATATGGTGCTCATCCAGAAATGCTTCAGAGGAACCCATTCTTTTGCAAATGCATCAATGCTAGACTTAGGAGCAAGGCAGGTACTAACTACCAGGCCTGTAGCAAGGGGTGGTTTTAGGGGTTCAACCCCCCCCCCCGAAATGTTTCAGATTTTTTAAAAAAACCTGGTTTACTCATGAATTTTAACTGGTCAACCAAATCCCCATGCTAAGTCTATGAAATGCAAAAAATTAAGAGTCCTTCCAGAACTGCAAGCACTATCTCAGGCAAATACTGACAATTTATTCATACTGTCATTACTTGCAGCAATATCCGATGTAGCGAAGCAACCAAGTTGGGGGGGTGGGTGTTGAATGCTCTCATTAAGGAGGCCAGACTTGGTGGAGGTGGTTGACAAGGGCGGAGCTGCAGGCTATTGAAGGCTGCTCTGCCCCCTGCTGTGCTCTTTGCTTCAGCGTGAGCTAGGAGGCAGGTTTCAACCCCCCCCCCCTGTGAAATTTCAACCCCTCCCGAAATCTTTTTCTGGCTACGGTCCTGCTAACTACCACATGTTTTTTGCAGCTCTGATGTACATGCGGAATTTGAAATGTTCCCAGACTTCTTTCCAACCCTGCTTCATCCATTTTTGAAACCCACCATGTACTTTCGGTTAGCCTAAAACCTTGAATGGAATCAATAGAATGAACGAGAATAGATTGAGTTTTTAAAAAGGAAAAGAAAGACAATAGTTGCTGATAGCCTGCATTGAGAGGATGGGCTAACTCTGACCCTCCAGGTGTTTTGGACTTCAATTCCCGCAATTCTTATCAGCCAGTAGGCTGTTAGGAATTGTGGGGGTTGAGGTCTAGAACACCTGGAGGGCCAAAGTTGGCCCATGCTTGGGTTATACAGAAAAAAGCTAAGAAGACCCTACAGATCCTATCAGTATCCTGAGTTTGTCACAGCACACCCTACGACTGAGAGCAGGGTGGATACATCATTCACTGCTCTCTGGCATCTGAGAAAAAGCGGTGTTGGGGGTGGAGGCTGAAAAGTTCTTAAGAAGGCACTTTTGGTTATTGGAATTCTGCAATGACTGTAAGTATAAACTGAAATAATTACAATGCCCCCAGTGGCGCAGTGGGTTAAAGCACTGTGCCGGCAGGACTGAAGACCGACAGGTCGCAGGTTCGAATCTGGGGAGAGGCGGATGAGCTCACTCTCCTCATGCGGGGACATGAGAGAAGCCTCCCACAAGGATGATAAAACATCAAAAATCATCCAGGCGTCCCCTGGGCAACATCCTTGCAGACGGCCAATTCTCTCATAACAGGAGCGGTTGCTCCTGACATGACCAAAAAAAAAAAAATTACAATATTATAAGTCAACATGTCACATTGGTTTCAGTGCTAAATTACACCTCTGGAAACAAGACCTTGAATCCATGCTTAGCTATTAAACCCATTGAGTGGCCTTGAACAAGTCCCACTCTCAGAACCTCAGAAGGAGGCAAACCTCTTCTAAACACATCATGCCAAGAAAACCCCATGATACCCATAAGCTGGGGGAAAAAACGAAGAAAGCACACAACAAGAACAACAAGAACAACAAGCTTATGACACTGTAATTGCAGAACACTACTCCAATCATTTAGACCTTTCCTTCGTAATGAAAAAAAATTGCAGTTGTCACAATAAGCATTTTCTGTATTTAATTTTACTCAGAAATCATTGTTCTATTTACAATTGCAACACACCTACTCCTATGCAACTGTCTCTATTATACAGTATATTAAAGGTAATGGATTCCCCTGATATGAAGTCTAGTTGTGTCTGACTCTGGGGGACGGTGTTCATCTCCATTTCTAAAGAGCCAGCGTTGTCCATAGACACCTCCAAGGTCATGTGGCCAGCATGACTGTATGGAGCGCTGTTACCTTCTTGCTGAAGCTGTACCTATTGATCTTACATTTGCATATTTTCAAACTGCTAGGTTGGCAGAAGCTGGGGCTAACAGTGGGAGCTCACCCTGCTCTCTGGATTTGAACTGCCAACCTTTCGGTCAGCAAGTTCAGCAGCTCATGGTTTAACCCACTGTGCCACCAGGGGGCCCTTATTTTATATTATATTATGTATTATATATTAAGGATGCAAATCTGAGCTTATTTCACTCTTAAGTGTAAGAATGAAAAATGTCATTGGCAGTCTATAAGTTTTTGTGCCCCTCCCCCCCAAACCAACAATTCAGATTTTGGGACTTTTTAAATGAAACATTTGCAGAGTTCTTTTTAGGCAATATACTTTATATGATGTGGATTTTGAGAAAAACTGGGTAATTGTACAAAATGCCCCTTTTTTGGCTGTCATGCGGGGGTGAAAAATGAATGGTATGACTGCATAAAGATACCCTTTTTCAATGAGGGTAAAAAAGTATGTGGATATTTTTTGTATCCCTATTACACACACACAGACACACACTTTAAATGCTGCATAACATTTCCTGCATCTAATGAAATTGTTTGCTGTTCACAAAAGCTTATGCCATAATAGATTTGTTAACAAGAGTCTGCCAAGTTCTGTTGTTTTGCTGCAACAGACTGTCACAGCTTGTTGTGTGCCTTCGAGTCGTTTACTATTTACTCAATTTTATTTGTAACCGAAAAGCAAAAATCTGTATTTGTTTAATTACATATATGTGTGTGTGTGTATAGAGAGAATGGTATATAAAATGGGCAAGTCCATGCCTCATTATAATTGAATACAGTAATTATAATTACAACGTCATATAGATTGATAGTCTATGAAATAGTATGCCCTTTTAAATGCAAACAGGATTATATTGTAGAGGATTCCTGAGGGAGGATTCGCAGAAAGAAATACATTTTAGAATTTCTAGAGCAATACAAGAGTTTCCAGATAAGAAATGAACAACTATAGCCAATTGTACATATTATTTGAATATTTGGGGGAAATTGTTGTGTGTGTGTGTTTTTTTTTACATCGGATAACTTGCGAAGCACTGTTTTAAAGAAAACTGGAAAGGTTTCTCCTGTTTCAACATTATCTATATTTCAGAAGGTAATACTAAGCTCTGGCAACAGGGAGGTTTTCTTTCAATTTCAGTTTGTTATACCAAACCTTATTTGTTTCTGTATTCTTTGCAGCAAACTGTGTTTCCCTGAATTACCCAATTCCTCAGTGAGGATTTCTGACTGCTTTAGAATGTATTGAGCCTTGTTTTTTCTCCCCAAAGCATGTCAAAGTTCAGCCTCGCCCTGTAAGTAATCTTAGTATTTTGTTAGTAAAACACCTTCCATTCAAATGACAAATGACTTTTTGGCTGCAAATAAATCTGACTGCTTGCTACTAACAGAGAGTATTTTATTCTGGGGTTTTTCACCCACAAGCCTGCAATAAATTTGAAGTATGTTACCTTCAAGTGCTCTTTCCCACAACATTGAAAGAACATTAATTCACCCAGTAGTTTTCCAAACAATGCTATTTGTGCCTTCAAGGAGTTCCAGAAAGCATCTATCTACAATTTCTCTCTTTCCCTCTGTTTTCCTGTATGTAGTTCTCTTTCCCTATATGCAGGAAAGAACAATTCTAGCCCCAAATTTTATTATATAGCCCAAAGTCCAGAGCTGAGTTTGGGAGTTATTTTTTGATTACAATTTCCAGGTATCCCGATTAGCATTAAGCATTGTGGGAGTTATGCAGATGATACCACTTTGATGGCTGAAAGTGAGGAGGAGCTGAGGAGCCTTATAACCAAGATAAAAGAAAAAAGTGCAAAATCTGGGTCACAGTGAAACATGAAAGAAAGAAAGAAAGAAAGAAAGAAAGAAAGAAAGAAAGAAAGAAAGAAAGAGGGAAGGAAGGAAGGAAGGAAGGAAGGAAGGAAGGAAGGAAGGATAGATGGAGAAAGAGGGAGGGAAGGGAGGGAGGGAGGGAGGGAAGGAAGGAAGGAAGGAAGGAAGGAAGGAAGGAAGGAAGGAAGGAAGGAAGGAAGAAGAAGAGGAAGGGAGGGAGGGAGGGAGGGAAGGATAGAAGGAGGAAAGAAAGAGAGAAGGAAGAAAGGAAGAAAGGAAGGAAGGAAGAAAGGAAGAAAGGAAGAGAAAGAAGAAAGAAAGAAAGAAAGGAAAGAAAGAAAGAAAGAAAGAAAGAAAGAAAGAAAGAAAGAAAGAAAGAAAGAAAGAGAGGGAGGGAGGGAGGGAGGGAGGGAGGGAGGGAGGGAGGGAGGGAGGGAGGGAGGAAGGAAGGAAGGAAGGAAGGAAGGAAGGAAGGAAGGAAGGAAGGAAGGAAGGAAGGAAGGAAGGAAGGGAAGGAAGGGAAGGAAGAAGAATAGAAGGATATGGTAACCAGACTGATTGCTAACTGGCAAATAGAGGGAGAAAACGTGGAGGCAGTGACAGACTTTGTATTTCTAGGTGCAAAGATTACTGCAGATGCAGAGTGCAGCCAGAAAATCACAAGTCGGTTACTTCTTGAAAGGAGAACAATAACCAATCTCGATAAGATAGTGAAGAGTAGAGACATCACATTGGCAACAAAGATCTGCATAGTTAAAGCAATGGTATTCCCTTTAGTAACCTATGGATGTGAAAGTTGGACCATAGGGAAGGTGAACAAAGGAAGATAGACACTTTTGAACTGTGGTGCTGGAGGAAAATTCTGAGAGTGCCTTTGACCACAAGAAGATCAAACCAGTCCATACTCCAGGAAATAAAGCCCAACTGCTCACTGAAGGGGAGGATATTAGAGACAAATATGAAGTACTGTGGCCACATAATGGGAAGACAGGAAAGCTTGGAGAAGACAATGATGGTGGGGAAAAGGGAAGGAAAAAGGAAGAGGGGCTTTTCTGGGGCTGGAAGGGTGTTCTGGGGCTGGAAGTTTATGACTTGCCCTGGGTCATTCGGTGGGTTTTCAAACCTTGGTCTCCAGAGCTGTACTCCAACACTCAAACCATTATCCCACAGTAGCTCCCTGAGAAATGAAGGCTAAAAGACTGTTCCTTTCATAGGAAGCAAGCTTATTCTTCTCTACCAACTCCAAGCAGTTATCCCCACACGTTTTGATATGACAGTGAACTCAGAAAACCATTTCATCTTAAGCATGAGAAAAGTACCTTTAGAGATGCCCTTGAACTTTCAGGAATTCCATTGGCGTATTTCCCTGAGATAATCCCACAGGCCAGCGGAGACCATGTCATTGCTCCAACACCTAAAGAACAACCAATAAGATGAAATGACATAAAGACATTGTGAATCAAAACATTGCAAACATCACTTCCTATCTACCAAACTGGAAAATATGTGGCACCCAGATACCACTGCATTTCAATTCCAGAATCCATAAGCCGAAGAGCCAGTGGTGGGACCTTGAGCAAGTTACCCTCTCTCAGCTCAGAGCAAGGCAACGACAAAGGCATGCCGGTATATCTAGACAGAAACAATGCTAAACAAAATACACTGTATTCGAGTTTCTTCAAGTCATTACGATGAATCCAAAGTAAACCTATCATGGGGGTTTCTTGGCAGAATTAGTTCAGAGGATGTTTGCTTGTCTATGAAGCTGAGAGAAGTGCAGTGGTTAGTGCAGTGGTTCTCAATCTGTGGGCCACCAGGTGTTTTAGCCTTCAACTCCCAGAAATCCTAACAGCTGGTAAAATGGCTGGGATTTCTGGGAGTTGAAGGTCAAAACACCCAGGAACCTATAGATTGAGAACCACTGACTTAGTGGGTTTCTATGGCCAAGTGGGGATTCAGACCCTAATGTCCCATAGTCAATTCCAAAAACTCAAACCACTACATCTCACTCGCTCTCTCAGTTATTATTACTAATGGGAATAAAGCAGTCACTAAACTCCCAATACATCTTTCAGTCCCACTGTATTCATAAATGTAGTTACTGCGATAGTAGGTAAGACTTCTGTGATGCTTTTATGTTTAGCTGCTTTGAGTCCCCTTTAAGGAAGATAAAGCAGGGTATAAATAATAATAATAATAATAATAATAATAATAATAATAATAATAATAATTTCTTACATGCCATGCAACTTGTTCTGTACCCCCAAAACCATTCTGTTGCCTTCAAGTGGAGTGATATCACATCTCCAGCATTTAAGTAAGATTTATCTGGTACACTACTCAGTGTGTACACGCAGAACTAGAAAGAAGTCCCTCACTTTGGGAAGTAACATGCCTTAGGCAAAGTCCACTCCAGCTCTGATTTGCTTACAATATACCTCTGTGTCCCAGACTTGTCATGGTGGTATAATAATAATAAATTATAGAAGAAAACTAAGACTGCAGCCAAGAATACATGCTGTCAGTTACCTCTTTACATGAAGATAATTGCTCCTGGCAAGAAACTAATTGCACTACTGATAATTACTGAACAGCAGGGGCTGTGAAACATTTCAGAGTCTACACCCTTTGCATAAGAACGATGCATTTTTCCCAGAGCCATGCAGTCTTCAGACATTACCTATCTTGTGGTATAATTCCGGCAACTGAACTTCAACTTTTTCTCTTTGAAAAAGGTGGTATTCTGCTTGTTCACACACAGGGGGGATCATATTAAACTGCCTTGCCACAGAATAGGCTTCCTGTTGAGAATCAGCAGCAAAAGAATAGCATGTTAGCAGGGATTTCTCCTAGGGAATATAACAACACATTAATCAAATCAACCCTTCCTCCTTCCCAAGCTACGCATATTTCAGATCCGTTTATTAAGGCTGCAGTCTTAAATCTTGGTCATTCACCAGTGAGAAATATTTAATCAGCCCAAGGCTTATCCCTGATTAACTAGGGAGCAGACTTTTAAAACATTTAAATACAAGTCCTTTAAGATCATAGATGAAAAATGGCATCACGGAAGAAATACTTTCTGCTGAGTGACCCAGCATCACTTAGAAACACCTGCATCCATCATGTGAAAGCAGAGAAAGCAAGAAAGCATTTTTTAGAACTATTATTCTTCTGTGCAAATGTGCGCCATTTAATTGATTAGCTAAGTTAATTGTCTAAAACTCTGCAGATGAACTGACTTTCTTAATTGGGTGACAGCCCTCATTATATGGGTAAGATTCTGGCAGACAGAGAAAGGCTTCCAGTTTCTTCTAAAGCAAGACCTTGCACTCATCTGTGATTTGGTGACATTTTCTTTCTTCTTTGTTAAAAAACTATCCACTTGGCTTAGTTCTTAATCAGAAACCTGGCATTGATAAAATGGGTGATGACAATCTCTTTATTCTATTCATTTGTGCTCTGGTGCACTGGGTTACATAAGCAGTTTTGTAAACTCCTGACATCTTAAGGATCTGAAATGGACCCTATGAAGTTCTTCCTCAGAACATTCCCATGAATTAAGATCTCCACCAGAGACCTTTCTCAGAGTGCTCCCACCTCCAGAAAGCACAAGAAAGGGAAATTTCTTGTGGTAGGATGTCTTCCCAAGAGAAAAACATCTGGCCATAATATTGTCCAGTAGTGCAAACAAGCAACTTGGTGGCTTTTGATTCTGAATGGTTTCAACTGAGATTCAGTCTATTGCTTGCCTTTTTGTTATTTTATGTGGATTATTAAAATGTGTTTTAGCTACTTTTTTAAAAAAAGGGGGGGTTGGTCAAATACAACCCATATACTGTGGGATGTGTTCTCAGAGTTTGTGTGGCTATGTGAAACTGCAGATAATAGAGAATTCATACTACTTTCAATGGGAGAAAAAAATTCAATTTTTGTTATTTATCTGGCCTTGGTGATATAGCAAGTGTTAGGGAAAACTACCCTAAAAAATAGCAGAGCATCCAAAAATCAAACAGGATATAAATGTGATGTGGCTGTAAGTAATTAAGAGTTTAGGCAGGTAAAGATGCAGAGTCCTATCTTAAAAATCACAAAATATTTATTTACAGTAATAAAGGACTTCTTCCTGGTAATGAACTGGGTCTGAGCTACTTTAACACCCATCTCTTCTTAGGGTTTCAAGAGAGGGAAAAATCATCCAAGCACTACATCTCTCTGACACACAAGCAGAAAGAGATCTCAAAGTACATCGCACATACTCAGATGTAAGAAACAGGAGTCAAAGAAAAGGCTTGCAGGAGAAAAATACCAATTCTACACAATTAATCAGAACCAGAGAGGAGAGAAGAAATATATACATTCCCAACTGTCATACAGGAGACATGTGAGAAGGGAAACCCTTAGTCTATTATAAGCTAACTAAACTGTTCCTCATTGAGGACTTGAGACTTGAGCAGTGTAGGGTTGAATTCCAACAGCAAGAAGTTTAGCATCTAGGCCAATTTGAGAGACTCTGTCTTCTGTGCAAAACTGATAACACTGGGGCACTCACTAATAACACACTTTCTAGGTTTCAGAATTCTGTTTTGTTGGCATATAAATAAAGATCATAGTTAAGAGTAGTAAAGGAAATTTTGAGTATCGATATATTAGTTTTTTGGCTTTTTGTTGTTCCTATCAATGCAGTCAATGACCTTGTTTTATTCACAACATTTTATAGAAGGTCCAAGAAATATCACCACCATCCACTTTCATCTTCTAATTATTTCTCACTACTTGTTTCCCATTTTTGTCTTCACACAAAAACTTTGTAGAGAAGAGAAAGGTGGAATGACTCCCCCAAGGCTTTTGATGAATGGCTCTGTGTCATGCCATCATGACTTGTGATTAGTGGTTTGGGAGCATCCTTGGTTTTGTGTCTGGGAGCTATGTAATTACATCATTAAACACTGCAGCCTAGCAACTACTGGTCCTTTTTTTGTGTGTTGCATGTGGGAAGATACGTTACCATGATCTCCATGGCACTCCAACGAGAGGTTCCCCAGTACATAGCCATTCCCTGATTTATCACATGTGTCATCGCCCTGACAATTTCTAAACGAGAAAGCAACAAAAAGAAGAGAATTGTAGAGCAGGTAATGATAGACAATTTATCTAGCAAGACTTTGTACTACAAGGAACCAAGCAGTGATATTCATTACACTGAGGACAGCAAGTTACCCTTGTGAAACATGTACCAAATAACAATGGCAGATGTCCATGTGCATGTTCATCAACACACAATATTGTTTGTGGGCATGCAAGTTTAATTCTGACTGCTCTGCAGTTAGCCAGTAATGCTGCCTTCATATATCACAAACTGTTGCTAGAACTTTCCCAGCATGGAAATCCTTGTGATTGATCTATGGTATCTATCATGAACAATTTTGTAATATGCAGGTGGTAGCTCTAGAACAGTGGATATGCAGGATGTATTTTCATTCAGTGGACAAAATTTGGCACAAATACCCAATACACCCAAATCTGAATACTGGTGAGGGGGGATTGATTTTGTCATTTGGGAGTTATAGTTACTGGGATTTATAGTTAACCTACAACCAAAGAGCATTCTGAACTCCATCAATGATGGAATGGAACCAAACTTGGCACCCAGAACTCCCATGACCAACAGAACATACTGGAAGGGTTACTGTAGCTTTTTTCAGGCTATATGGTCTCACAACCTCTCAGGATGCCTGCCATAGGTGCAGGTGAAACATCAGGAGAGAATGCTTCTAGAACATGGCCATATAGCCTGAAAAACCTACAACAACCCAGTGATTTTGGCCATGAAATTCTTCGACAATACATACTGGAAGGGTTTGGTGAGCATTGACCTTGAGTTTTTGAAGTTGTCGTTCACACAGAGAGCTCTTCACCATGAAGATGGATGGTTGCCAAAAGTTATTATGACAAACTATTTTCTCAAATTTTGTGTGGTTTACCTAATTACGTAAACTTCAAAGAGAATCAGCCCATATTTTATGAGTTGAGAGCTTGCCTAGTTAGTAAATCATGCACAAATATCAACACACCTGCTCATGAAGTTACAAAATTAGAACTTAAAAACACAGTAGATAACACTGTAGGTATAGAGAAGTCCCAAGTGTGATGAAACAATTACCCCAGTGCATGATACATATCTGTTCACTTGAAGAAAAGAATGTCAAGAGGGGAAATGATCGCCATGTTAAAATAATATGAAATGATGTCAAATTGAGGAGGGGGCAAGCTCTAGAAGAGTGGTTCTCAACTTTTTTGACCAGGGACTACTTGACCAGGGACCACTTTAACCAGGGACCACTCTCCAACATTAGTACCAAAAGGGTTATGAATCAGTTTTTGGTCAACTTTAGATTTGGTTTGGTTATCTGGGGTGCTAATTCAGAAAATTGTATTTGATAGACCACATCAGCTCTAGTTTCTGATGCAGAACATATGCCACCTAGTAGTCGCCACCTGCTCACCCACAGAAAACCATATTTAATAATCTAGAGCTGATGTAGTAATAGTAATCTTCTGTGGGTAGTCAGCCTATCCCCTCCCAACATCCCTGTTGCCTCAGCACTATAAGAGGGTTTTGGGAGACCAGTTGCTCTCACTGCTGCATGGTTTTGATGCAACGGTGTAGTAATGGTGAGGTTGCGGACCATATTTTTCTTCTTTCAGACCACAGGTTGGGAACCACCTCTCTAGAGACTAGAACATGGAACAAGTTACACATAAGTAGGAACAGTGTTCTTCTAGTAGTGAAAAGACTTAAGCAGTCTAGTCTTCCAAAACTCTGAAAACATTTCAGCCAAAGCTGTAGACATCTTGCTTTTGAAGAGACCCTTCAATGTGGTGTTGCACAGACATATTTGAACTAGTCAATTAATTTTTCTACACTTGATACTATACTTGATCTTAGCCAAAAGGCCGAGAAGTGATTAATTTTTCTAAAGAAAATAACACCAAGATGCACAATCTCAGGATTGCCACCATATTCATGCCGAATTCTGTATGCCTAATGTTCCCAATCTTGGAGTTAAGGCACACATACAAACAAGATACTTTTACAAATTTATACAGAAGGAAAGTAAATGCAAACACAGCCAGTTTTATCCCTTACATTTGTTATAACGCTAGAAATCTTTGTGTGGGCAAATGAACAGTACAGAGTGACATAAAATGCACGGTTGTCACAGAAACTCCCCACATTGTAGAGCTGCAAATGACTTACCAATGTGGTTCTGAATACTCTGATCTTTTGTGTGATACTCTGTATACAATTCCACATTAACTCCAAAGTGAAGATACATGTGCTTGATTAGTACATTATAACCTTCCAACAAAATAATAAATGATTGCAGACTATCATTGTCAGTATGAGATAATAGGAACAAGAAACTAAATGTTACGCACAAGAACTGGAAAAGTAGGTAGTCCAACACAACTGAGAGGGTCACAGAATTAGCCCCCTCCCTCCGCTGTAGTTGCATCTGCATTGGCAAGGGTTTTGGACTAAATAGTTTCCAAAGTCCCTTGAAATGTAATCATAGGGCTGGAAGTGATTGCAGGAACCTTTCAGTCCATCATCCTGCCGTGCAAGAAGAGATGCCCCAACTCTCCTAATCTGGTAGGATAGTGTCAGACCCCTTCCACACTGCCATATAAAATCCAGATTATCTGATTTGAACTGGATTATATGAGTCTACATTGCCATATAATCCAAAACAGATAATCTGGATTTTATAGGCAGTGTAGAAGGGGCCTTAGTTTGTTCTTCTTCATTAATGATGTTTCCCATTTTGACCACATTCTGTTGTTGTTTGAGTCACAAGTCAATTGTTGGAGGGTTTCTAGGAATAAATAGCTAAAGAACTCTGAGGGATGACAATCACTTATGAGAAATGACTAATAATTCTATGCGCAGCTTCACCAACATGCCTTTTCAGGAGGCACAATGCATTCACTTCCGGCTCTGAGATTTTATTTTCTACATAAAAATTAGGAAGAAAATTGAACTTGCAAGAACAACAGACTGAACCTGACCAATTCACACCATACAATTCGTTGCAGTATCTATACAAACACACAAACGGGGACATAACGGGAAAATCCATAACAAGGTCCAGAAAACAAGGGCTTTTCCAGAACTTGGAAAACTTACTCCTGTGAATCAGCATAGTGAATCAGACTGATGATAAGTCTAGGAGTCTTAACAAAAAAGTACATTTCCTGAGCTGTGAAACAGTCAAGACAGGAGTATCTAAAATGAACTCCAAAGTTATTATTTCAAGAGTTTTTTTATCACTAGCTGCATCATTTAATGCAGTTGCTGTTGAACATAGAATAAAAACTCACACAAATACCACCCTCACCTGCATTATTTATGATTCCATGAATATTCCCCTTCAACAATAGAAAACAACAGCTTCCACAGACATTCCTCTTTGCTGCCAGTGAATCATGACACACACAAAAAATCACATGAGCAGCCACACAGTAAGCATGTTTTAAAAGAAGCAACAGTGTGCGGGGTGTAATTATCATAAACACCATGTGTATCTCTTTATATTTTCTTTGCTATCTTCCTGATACATATATGTGTGTGTTGTGTTGTGGGAGGGAACGAACAGATGCTTAGAGCTGCTCGGCCCCTTCTTGCTCTCCTTAGTTACGAATAGAAAAGGGGTAGTCCTTGCTATCCTTTCCTTCCTCCAGGTATAGTTTTCCGTCTCCGGTTTTACCCATAATAAGACTTCTTTTAATATATGAATTTTTCAAAAGTGCTCACCGGAGCCCCACTGTTACCTTCACTCAATACGTGAGCCATAAATAATGAGGGGAGTCGGGAAAGGTGGGTGGATACAAGGTTGCATGACAATATATCAAGCTTGGATAAAGGAGGGTGAGTTGGGTTGAAGTATCTTCCACCTCAGATAGTGTGGCTAGCCTTGGTAACAGGTCCCCTGGCTGAAAATCCCAAATTTGTATATTGCTATTGTTGTAAGCCACCCTGAGTCCTCCTTCGGGGGTTGAGAAGGATGGGGTAGAAATGTGGAAAATAAATAAATTAGCTGAATGAAGCTAATATGTGTGCTTTTATCCTGCTTTTCCCATCTTGGTTATTAATGGAGTACCAGGGAGGGCAGAGAGGTGGAGTTTTAGTAGTCTACTGGGATTTTGGCTCCATCGCCAGTTGTTTGGTATCACAGTCTGCTGGATTTGAATGCAAATATCGAGGTGGGTGGCCAGGACAAAATGTGGATTCTTTACTGCACAGTCTATTGCCTTTCCTGGTCTTTGTAGTAGTGTTGGAGTCCCCACTGTTAGTTGTTCTAGGGGACTTTATACAGAGACCTCTCTGTCAGGAGTAGCTCACAACTTCATGTCCTTCATGACAACCATGGGTCTTTCCCAAGTAGTATTTGTTGCCACCCATGCTGTAGGACACATTCTGGAATGAGTTTTATGTGTGGAGGAACTTTTACTCTTCTGTTGTCATAGGCAGATCACTATCTGGTGGGTTTTAGATTCACTGAAACTCAGAGTAGGGAACCAATTAAGAAGGCACAACCCAGGAGGCTTGTGGATCCAGATGGCTTTCCTCATGATCTTGGGTAGTTTCCTGTTGCCTTGATAGGTGGTCCTGTAAAGGCCTCTGCTGATCTCTAAAACAGAGAAATTGACATCATTGCTTCTAAATGTTCCATCGCACAAAATGGGTCACCCTGGTTCACTAGAGAGCTGCTGCTGCTGCTGAAACAAGTAGGATGGAGACTACAATAATGAAGGGTGAGTTCTGCCAAACACAGGATAGGGTTCATTGGAAAGCCAATGTTCATATCAATCCTTCTTCACTGCCATCACTGCCACCATTGCATCTGCACTGTGTTGTCTAGCAGAGGAGTATTTTAAATTCAGCCTCACAAGAGCAGCATACACACCACTCAACAGTCCATGCTGAACAGATTGCTGAGTACTTTCTGGATAAAATTGCCAAAACCTGCGATGATGCACCTGCTATAGTTGATACAGTTCCAGTGGATATAAACTTGGCCCCTGCTTGT